AGATATACGTAACGAGGACATAATTCATCTCGCTTGCATTATGTAGATATACGTAACGAGGCATAATTCATCTCGCTTGCATTATGTAGATATACGTAACGAGGCATAATTCCTCTCGCTTGCATTATGTAGATATACGTAACGAGGCATAATTCATCTCGCTTGCATTATGTAGATATACGTAACGAGGCATAATTCATCTCGCTTGCATTATGTAGATATACGTAACGAGGCATAATTCATCTCGCTTGCATTATGTAGATATACGTAACGAGGCATAATTCATCTCGCTTGCATTATGTAGATATACGTAACGAGGCATAATTCATCTCGCTTGCATTATGTAGATATACGTAACGAGGCATAATTCATCTCGCTTGCATTATGTAGATATACGTAACGAGGCATAATTCATCTCGCTTGCATTATGTAGATATACGTAACGAGGCATAATTCATCTCGCTTGCATTATGTAGATATACGTAACGAGGCATAATTCATCTCGCTTGCATTATGTAGATATACGTAACGAGGCATAATTCATCTCGCTTGCATTATGTAGATATACGTAACGAGGCATAATTCATCTCGCTTGCATTATGTAGATATACGTAACGAGGCATAATTCATCTCGCTTGCATTATGTAGATATACGTAACGAGGCATAATTCATCTCGCTTGCATTATGTAGATATACGTAACGAGGCATAATTCATCTCGCTTGCATTATGTAGATATACGTAACGAGGCATAATTCATCTCGCTTGCATTATGTAGATATACGTAACATTGCATAATTCATCTCGCTTGCATTATGTAGATATACGTAACGAGGCATAATTCATCTCGCTTGCATTATGTAGATATACGTAACGAGGCATAATTCATCTCGCTTGCATTATGTAGATATACGTAACGAGGCATAATTCATCTCGCTTGCATTATGTAGATATACGTAACGAGGCATAATTCATCTCGCTTGCATTATGTAGATATACGTAACGAGGCATAATTCATCTCGCTTGCATTATGTGGGAAGTTGGTCGTTTACCACCTGACAGTCTATGCAACGTCTATGCAACGTCCGTGCAACAACAAAAGAACCGTCTATGCAACGTCTATGCAACGTCCCTGCACAATGAACACTCTATGCACACTCCCTGCACGGTCAGTCTATGCAACGTCTATGCAACGTCTATGCAACGTCTATGCAACGTCCCTGCACAGTACCATATGAACACCGGCTACTAGCCGGCTACTAACCGGCTAGTAGCCACTTTTGTAATAACAGCTCCTCAACTTCACATTAACAACCGGCTACTAACCGGCACTTGAAAAGTGGTCACTAGCCGGCTACTAACCGGCTACTAGCCGGCTAGTGACCACAAAGTGGCTACTAACCGGCTACTAAGCGGTCACTAGCCGGCTATTAGCCGAGCTCTAAAGCAGACCTACTAGTAGCCGGTTCCAAACCGGCTACTAGCCGGCACTTAGAAAGTGGTCACTAGCCGGCTACTAACCGGCTACTAACCGGCTAGTAACCACCAAGTGGCTACTAACCGGCTACTAACCGGTCACTAGCCGGCTCTTAAGCGGACCTACTAGTAGCCGGTTCCAAACCGGCTACTAGCCGGCACTTAGAAAGCGGTCACTAGCCGGCTACTAACCGGCTACTAACCGGCTAGTAACCACCAAGTGGCTACTAACCGGCTACTAACCGGTCACTAGCCGGCTCTTAAGCGGACCTACTAGCCGGCACTCGAAAAGCGGTCGCTAGCCGGCTACTAACCGGCTACTAACCGGCTAGTAACCACCAAGTGGCTACTAACCGGTCACTAGCCGGCTCTAAAGCGGACCTTCTAGTTCCAAACCGGCTACTAGCCGACACCTGAAAAGCGGTCACTAGCCGGCTACTAACCGGCTACTAACCGGCTAGTAACCACCAAGTGGCTACTAACCGGTCACTAGCCGGCTCTAAAGCGGACCTTCTAGTTCCAAACCGGCTACTAGCCGACACTTGAAAAGCGGTCACTAGCCGGCTGGTTGGTACTAGCTGGTTAGTAGACGGCTACTAACCGGCTAGTACTAACCTGCTCTAGGCGACTCTAAATCAGACCGGCTATAATTCATTATTGCCAAATAAACAAATTATTTGAAACAAATTATTTGAAACAAATTATTTGAAACTTGTTATTTGAAACTTGTTATTTGAAACAAATTATTGAAATGAATTATTTGAAACACGTTATTTGAAAGTAAGTTCCAAAATCGATTACAACATTTTTATGAAAAATAAAAAAATACTGAAAACTGATTACATTCAATTTCTTCGTGGTGGAGGAGCAGTGTAATTGTTTTTGGGCGCTAGGACGACGCCTTGGGTACAAAGGGTCCTAAGAGTGGCAAGATTACGGTTGCAGATCTCGTTTGCGAAGGTGTAAACACTAGGAAGTCTGACGTCTCAGAGTTGCAGCAGTGCGTGTTGGACACCTGGTAGGTCAACTTTTGCTGCTTCAGCGATACATCGCTTTCTTGAGAAGTGACTCCGAGAAATGTGTATCTGCTCCAGAGCGGCAGACTTTGAGAGACCAGAGTTGACTAGCTGCACAACGGCGTCGTATTCCGCTATAACCCCGTCTAAAGAAAATATCCGCCTCGTTCTGCGACCAGTAGGCAGAGCAGCAGCATTGGGAGCAGGTTGCTGATCAGTAGCAGGTTGGTGTCCAGGAGCAGCTTGCTGAACAGGAGGTTGAGGAGAATTGGGAGCAGGTTGTTGATCAGTAACAGGTTGCTGTGCAGGAGCAGGTTGAGGAGCTGGAGGTTGAGGAGCTGGAGGTTGAGGAGCTGGAGGTTGAGGAGCTGGAGGTTGAGGAGCTGGAGGTTGAGGAGCTGGAGGTTGAGGAGCTGGAGGTTGAGGAGCTGGAGGTTGAGGAGCTGGAGGTTGAGGCGGTTGAGGAGCAGCAGCGGTACGAGGAGCTAGTCCTGGAACAGTGGGAGGAGGAGGGGGTGGGGTAGGTCTTGAACTAGAAGAGGTTCTAAGTCGGTGATTGGTGGTGGGGATAGGTCTGTTTGGTCGAATTGTGGGTGTAGAGTGCAGGGAGCACGGATCGATGTGTACTATAATCTGTAGATAATCTGGGTCCTCTCTGTAAGCGCTTCTAACAGTCCGAATGCAGGCAGTACATCTGAGGGAGGGAAGGTCGGGACTGTAAGTCCTTCTGAAGCAGATTGAGGAGATGTGACCGGTAGACCCACAGTGATCGCATTTAGGAGCAGGTGTAGGAGCGGTATATCTGTTTCTTCTGGTCCGCATGTTGATTAAGAGTAAAGAATGATGTATAGTAAAGAACGATGTAAAGAACGAGGGATAAATAAGTTGGTGGCTAATGCTACTTATATAGTTTTTGGAAAGGCCTGCAGGTCCGTCAGGGCTCGTTATACCCATGGTTATTTGATCTGATCTATCATGCATGGTGTCACGTCAAATCCTAACGATTGCGGTGATCCGTTAGAACTCAATTGGGGATCACATCGTTTTCACTGATCACGTCCCTGCAGGGATTCTTATGCAAAAGGAGGGATATAACCTAAACAATCTTGATAAAAGGATTAAAAAATGACTATGATACTTGATGCGTCCCATATCATAAATAATTTGGGATCCATCAGTTTCGGTTCGGTTTATAGATCGTTTCTTAGTAAAGTGGGAGCAAGCGGAGCATTCGTCTATTTTCAAAATGTAATAATTGCGATATTACTCGTCAGCCAGCGCAGGCCAGCGCAATATAGTTGCGATATTGTTCGTCAGCTACTGCTAGTGCCGGCTACTGCTAGCGCTGGCTAGCGCCATGTATAGAAATCGGCTCTAACTAATTCGCTCGCCCAAATTTTCACGTGCCGTTTTTATGGTTTTGCAGCCAAACAAAACGGTTTTACAGACACCCTAATCCCAACCTTAACCCTAACCCCGAAGCTATTCATAACCCTAACCACAACCGTGGTCACTATTAACCAATGTCTCTATTAACCAATGTAAACAGTTCTGCGTGAGAAATTCGAGCTAGCTTGCTCAGGCTAAATTGGCCAAATAAGCTCAGTGAAGCTAGCACTCACACAACACTTGCCACAAAGGTTTAGCTACCTGTTATTAACACTAGCAGGAACCCATTAACCCTAAAGTGGTGTCAAGACTTTAGGAGGCCGGATCAGTTTCCTGCCGCAAAGTCTCCCAGTGAAAATTATTATTACCTATTCAATTCACGTTTTTGACACCACTTGGAAGTCCGAATTTTGGGCACTAAAATTCTTATTTCTTGGCCAATTTTTTTCCCTGCTCTTGCCGAAGGCAAAAAGATCGTAGGGATCGGAATAAGTAATCGGGTTTGGATATATGAGGTGAAAAAATGATCCTACGTCTATGACAAAAGTCTGCGCCTTCACAATATAGACCACTCTGCATAAATTGGGGGTATTATTGGCGTTTGTTTTGCTGCGCGCGACGACAGCTATGTGTTAATTAATTGTTTTATCCAACGCGAATTTCAATTGTCAAACGATGCCGTTTAAATAAATTAGCCCCACATTTGTGCGCGGCGTACTAAATATTCGATTATAATCCTGCACGCGCGCAATGATAAATTACGATTAAAAACATTGTACTTATGAATTAAGCAACTTATATTATTACTGAATATTTTCGTAACTTATGACATGACAACAAAATAATGCAATATCCTATTTTTTTTGACTCAATAAGATTAAACTTTTCATTGCAAACATTAACGGTTTGAGCAGGGAAAATTGATCGTGCGTGGTGTGACCGCGGCGAAATTCTTGCTTATTTTTTTATGTTGATTTGAAGGCCATTAAGGCATTTGACCCAGTCATAACAAATTTGAGTATTATATCTTTTACGGTTTTTGCGGAACGTCGTGTTAAAGTTGATGCCCTGGTGTCAGTAAAATGGTAGCAAATATATATAATATAAATAATTATAGTGTCCTCATGAAATAAAACAATTAATCTGGTTAGTTTGCAAAATTATGATATATCTACGACTTCATTAAATGCAATACAACATCAATTATATATTTTAGATAATCATTAAACTTCCCATTATTCAACCAAAGGTTCTTTTCATGAGCTCAGGAATCTCAAAGTTAAAACTCTTACGAACAGAAACATCAGAACGTGTAAGATTAAATCTCTTCAACCACATAAATTCACAGAGTGCCAAGTCCATTGCAGCTGAATCAGTCCTGGTTCGTCCGTGCCCCCCTCTCATGTGACGCTTAGCGTGGTACCACATACCTTCACAGGTATTTGTATGCACGCCCGTTGCAGGGTCGATGAATCCACGTCGATGATTCACGGTGAGGTGGATATATCCATGGCGATTCAGGTGTGTGTAGCCTTTCCAGCGGTCTGATAGGATTGTAGTACCAGGGTTGATGTAACGCTTTATCAGAGAGAGGAGGGTGTGATGGTTCCTTCTGTTATCAGGGCACTCCACCAAGAAACATTCTCCAGTAGTTAGTAGTAGTAGTAAGTAGTAAACCCGCGATGGGGTGGCATGTGCCTCAATAAAAATATTACAATCATTTATTATTATATCAATGTATCATTAAATATTTCAAAAATATCAATAACGTATGGTTGATCCTTCACACTTGGTAAAATATATAAAAATAAAGTTAATCTACACTAAAGAATAAATAATCTATATTATATAAATCAACAATATTAACTCCCCATCTTCATGTAGTCATTTATCAAAGCGGTAGAAATCCAAGTAATTTTAGTACGCGGTGCGCAAGGAATTTCGTTTTTTTTTAAATGTGTAGGCAAGATAAGCCTAAGTGTGGCAGTGAAAATTGAAAAATAAGTTGCAGAATAAATTGCAGTGACTGACTTTCAAATGCATTATCGCAGTTCATTTATTTGACTGCACAGTGCACTAACGTTTAGGATTCTTACAGCTGTTATATTTTGCTAATATTTTGTTTAAAAGTTGTAAAGGACAAAGTTCTTGTCCGTCCACGAAAGGTTTTCTAGGTCAAGTTTTTGTTTGTCCAGTAAGTAACGTACAATGTTGTCCTTGTATGAATTAATAAACTTATCTTGTAACTTAGGTACGTTGAAGGGAAGGATTTTGTTTATTTCGTTTATCGTGTTGTTATATAATCGTGGTCCTACGTTAGAGATGCTATAATCGGTGATCCGTAATCTGTTGAACTTAATTTCAAAATACTTTGGATTTCTCCTTTCCGTTTGTCTAAGCGGTGATTTTTCAAATATACTACAGATACTCGATGGTGCTACTCCCATATAAACCTTGTGCATCAAAGTTAGACAGCTTTTAGCAATGAGATTAGGAAGAGCCAAAATTCCTATTTTGTTGAAGATGGATTTTGTGTGAGATGGTAGTTTACGTTTTTCTTTGTCGTAAAAATAGTTATGATATTCTGAATCAGTGGCGCGAATAGCTTTCTTTTGAGCAGAGAATAAAGACTGAATGGAATTTAAAGATTTAGTACCCCAAACAGTAGCGCAGTAATACAGGTGAGATTGAATTAAACTATTGTATAGCATTTTTTGAGCTTTATTCGGAATGGAACTTTTAAGTTTCATCATAACGCCTGCATTTCTGGATATTTTAGTCTTTAACTGTTTAATGTGCTGGCTCCAGCTAAGTTTTGAGTCAATAATGACACCTAAAAATCGTTCATGTTCACTTTTCACTAGTCGCTGTCCTTCTATACTAATATTTATATCCTCTGGTAATCTGTTAGTGAATATCATGTATTTAGTTTTTCCTACATTAAGTTTAAGACCGTTGTTTTTAACCCATGTCTGTACAGTATTTAATACTCTGTTTGCACGCATGTTCAGTTCAGTGTACGTGTCGGCAGAAACGATGATGTTTGCATCATCAGCGAAGAAAATATAATGGGCTATATCGCTTACATTTGCAAGGTCGTTTATGTAAATAATGAACAATATAGGACCAAGAATGGACCCTTGAGGAACTCCATGTTCCAATCCCATTTTTTCTGAACTGCAACCGTTGACGTGAACATACTGTTTCCGGTTAGTTAGATAAGACTCAAACCAGGATAAGCTAAGGCCTCTTACACCATAGTGCTCCAGCTTATGTAGCAGTATCTCACTGTCTACTAGGTCAAACGCCTTGGAGAAGTCAAGAAGCAGTAATGCTGACACTTGCTTCCTTTCTAGAGCTTTATGTATGTTAAACTGAGCTTCAAGCAACGCATGTTCACAACTGTGACCCGATCTAAAACCAAATTGCGACGCATATAGAATATTACGTGATTTTAGGTGCTTTACTAAACGTGCATGCATTATTTTTTCGAATATCTTTGAGAAGCAGGACAAAAGTGAGATTGGTCTGTAGTTTGTAATTTCGCTGCGCGATCCTCCTTTATGGAGTGGGATAACCTTAGCAAGTTTGAGCTTTTCGGGGAATACTCCTTCGTGAAGGGAGTGTGAGATCAGGTGATTAACTACTGGAGACAGCACATTGCAAACCTTTTTAAGAGGCTGTATATTCATATCTGAAGTCGATTTGTTCTTAAGATCATGTATGATTTCAGCAATTTCGGAGGGCGAGGAGTCCTCCAGCTCCATATCAAAATCACATCGACTTGATTGGGGAAGAGAATGTCCTACTGATCCTGCACCGCGAACCAGATTGTTTTCGCTCTTTAGGTTCTCAGCTATATTAGTAAAATAATCATTAAAACTGTCAGCTATATCTTGTGATTCGGTTATAACTCTATTTTTATAGTTAATCTTACTTATTTTTATTTTTTCTTTTGATTTCTTGTTTAATATTTGATTAATCATTTGCCATTGTAATTTGCTATTGCTCGCATGCTTTTTAAAATATGATGCGTAATACTTCTTTTTCGCAATATCTACTTGTTTTTCAACAAACTTTTTCATATGCTTATAAGTTTTTTCATTTTTTTCAGTAGGCTCTTTAACAAAGGATTTATATAGTTGGTTCTTTCGATTGCATGCACATTGAAGCCAATCTAATATCCACGGTTTAGAGTTTTTTCTGTGGTTCGATTTTTTCTTTTTAACTGGAAAACACTCATTATAGACTTCTTCATATTTAGTGTGAAAAGCTTCAAATTTTGTATTTGTCCCGTCAACGTTGTGTAAAAAATTCCAATCAATAGACGCTATTTTCTCCTCAAAACGAGCGATTTTCTCTTCATTTATTACTCGGTTTGATGATTCACAAGTTTCATTTTTCAATTTATTTCCTATTCTATTAGTGTCGAGAAGTATGCCGGTAAATGTGGCAAGGTGATCAGATAGCGATTCAGTTATAATGCCTGACTTTGTTATAGCATGGCATTGGTTTACGAAAATGTGATCAATAAGTGTAGCACTGTGACAAGTAATACGAGTTGGTCGTGATATCGTTGGTGCGAATCCATACTCTGCAAAAATATCAACATATTTAGTAGTATGGTCATTTACGCCGTATTCTAATAGATTAATATTGGTATCACCTAGAAATAATACGTTTTTGTTGCTATGTCGCGCCAAATCTTTTAGGGTGTTTTCCAATTTTTCTAAGTAACTGGGGACATTACCACTGGGAGACCGATACATATTGCATAGTATGACGTTTTTGTGGCCATTTTGAGCTATCTCTATTAACTGAAATTCGCCAACGTTTGGATCATCTCTATAAGATAATTCAGATCGTGCAGTGACATCAGATAATTCACAGAGATTCTTGTTTACATAGGTTACTAGACCACCGCCCTTACCAGAGTCCCTTGCGGGAGCCTGAATAAAGGGGGGATGAAAGCCTTCTAACTCTAATTCTTTTCCTTGAAATGCCATACTTACAACCGTGCAGTTTGTTTCGTTGAAACACAGAACATCAAATTTTAGGTGCTGTTCAATTTCATCACGTATATTAGAGATTGCTTTGCTCAAAGATCGAATATTAAGAGATTGAACTTTAAATTCATAAGGCCTACTCGTGTTGATTTGCCGTGGTTCGTAGTATTTACAGCTATTTAGTACATCTGAGCAGTTATCCCATGGATTAAAGTTTAAGTCATTGTTTTCTTCAAAAGTATTACCTATATAATTAGAGTCATGGTTTCTATGGTATGGGTTAAATTTTGCGCTATTCTCGTAATTACCGTGTACGGTGTATAATTGTCTAGGTGATACCTCGAAACCAGGAAACAATTCACGTGTGCAGCTTTTGCATCCTAACTCGCCCGCTGAGCATTTATTGTGCGAATAAGCGTCGCATATCCAGCAAACCGCCATTTTTGATTTGTTTCCTAGCTTTTTACAAGTTTTGCAACTCACCCTGGCAAAACTTACTTTAGATTTAGCTTTTGTTTCTGTACTACAGGGTATGTAAGTGTTACACGAATTTTCATTAGTTAGAGTGGTAATATCAGTATTAGTAAACGGAAATATGTCAGTAGTACATGCCAAACAATACCAGTTTATGAAACTATTGTCTAATTTCATTCGATTTACGTCATTTGGTTCAAGATTAGCACATTTACGATGAAAGATACCGTTACAAAGGCTGCATTTTAGCGGATCTTTACGTTCTAAACATTTTTTAGAACATAATCTACATCTACAAGACTCTTTGCACATCTTTAATTTGCAAAGTATAACTATAGATTACTGGTTATATGATATACGATAGATTACTGATTATCAATATAAAATTAAAGATCTAAAGAGATTTATACAGGAACTGTGGGTCAAGAAAACGGGTTAAGTTTTATGTTTGACTCCTAGTTCCAAAATCAGTCAAAATCTGTAAAGGTTAAATAATTGATTAAATAGTTAAAATATTTAAATATAAATACACTGAATTTACTCCAGTAATTCTACGCTTGTGTTGTGTTGAAATTAGTTCGGTCCGGATTTATGTTGTTGTTATCTGCAATTTTGCTTATAACCGGTTCAGATAAGATAAGAAAGAGTAAAAAACCGTTTAAAATTTACTGTGATACATTTACCATGGTCTATAAGCCATCGCAATAAAAAATAATTTATGATTAGAAAAGAAAAAAGAAGATAAGGGACTTGCTGTTTTTTGAAAAATTTGAACTTAGGTACTTTCTGTGAACGTTACTATACGTTTAGCTTTGAAAAATTAAATTTGTTCAAAATTGTGTTGTAAACGATTATGTATTCGCGACGGAAAATTTGATTTAAGAATTTCTACTGCATTGGCAAAAGAGATCGGAACTCATCCCTTAAAGGCCACACCTCTTCGATTACTGTCGGTCTTCGCCTGGCCAGTTCAATGATGCAGTCCAAGAGACGCGAAACGATCCCTTTCTTGGCTGCTAAGGTTAGATGAATACCGTTCCCATTTGGATCTAGTATAGTGCACCTTTTCCTCACCAGCTCAAAGCATATTTGATGCGAGTCAAACATCAATAGATTTTCAACCTTCGTGGTTAAAATAAATAAAGACTCGTTAAACCTACGAATTTCTGGATTTAGCCAGTGATAAGTGGTTAGTGTTATGGAGTTAAAGATGAATGTGGTGTTTGGGTATCTCTCACAATAAGTACGCAGATCATTCGCCACGACATCAAACAACGAGTAAGAACGGTGATTATACCTGGACAAATCGTTGATGCCTGCCGAAATCACCACGTAACTCATGTGAGGGAATAGGTGCTCAAACTTGTGAAGATCAGTGATTTTGTACATTGTCTCCTTGGTGCATGGCAAGTGAGTAGGAAACAAGCTGACGGGTGTGGTTGAATGAATTGAATCTGTCAATAGCAGAACACGTTCCGTTGGAATCGGAGTCGGGTCTGTTTCTGGTCTACTAGATTGGCGGATTGGTGGTATATGCTGTGGTGTGGTGGGAGCTGAGAGTCTGCGAAAAGTTAGTGATAGTCTCTCGCCTTGTGCTGTGGGATCTGCTTTAATACCATGTTCCCAAAAGTCCTGGGAGGACCTTGACATGCAATAAGTCTGCCCGTGTTTGAGGTGTATGGATTGTGTCGTGAGAGGTCCTATTTTGCTGCGGAAGTCAATTGTTCGGGTAGCACCGAGACTGACTGTGATTATGTTACTGGGATTGACGATGCAAGCTTCGTTGTCACTGTGCATGGGAATTGAAGATTTACCGTTCTCATAACGAGTAAGAAGGCAAGTTATGTTGTCTGTGGTGAATGTTGGGTCTTCTGTGTGATGAGCGATTGAGTCTATGATTTCAAGGAGTGGGTGATTCGTGGGAATATCAAGTGGTTTGTGTACTGTTCTGCCATAACGATACTCTGTTCTACCAAAAAATGCTGTCTGTCGATGCCCTATCTTAGTAAAATGTACTCCGTGGCAAACTGTCTCCAGGTCTAAATGGTCAAAGTTTATATCACACGGTTCAACAGCACCTGGTATAGTTGGTAACGTCACCGTGTTGAGCTGTGCTGGTGCTGGTGGTGGCGGTGGGGTTGATGGAGGAGTTCTTCTAGAGTTGGCGGCGCTTTCATAAGCTAACATGTCCGTGATACACTGTTTCGCTGCCGCTATCGACTCAGTTAGTTGTTCAATAATCCTCGCATGATGGCTTTCTGCTTCTTGAAGTTTCTCGGAAATGAGGGAGGTTACGGAAGTGAACTGATGCAAATTTTTAGAAATATCATCTACATTGCTAGTTAGGTGTTGCTCTAGGTGTTGCTTTAAATGTTCATAGGCATGTGCCTTTCTATCCCTAGTTAGCATCCCTACTCCTATTGTATGATCTGTAAAACCACAGATTGTTGAATGGTATTCCGATTCATGTTTAAGTTGTTCTTCTGTCAGGGTTGAGAAGAGCTCTAAACTTGTTTTAGGAGATAATAGTGCCGTCCTAAAAGTTTTATCGTACGTACCGTCTTGTTGTGGGGGTACCAGGCAGGTCTTTGAAGAGGTAGTGAGTGGGTCACTACCTGGTAGCCCCTTGTCATCTGATGAAGGATTCGTCTCGTGAGATGGGTGGGTGGTTGGCTGATCCAATAAGTTGAGCGCGGCGTCGACCATGGTAAATTTTCTTATCAGCAAACGAATTTCATGCGTAATGTAAAAGACAAATATGATAATGACTGACACCTCCAAGCAACCACTTTCCAACAACACGTCTGCCAGAGTTATATTTCCGTTTCCCGAACTTGCTTTCGTCGACCTCGACGATGTGACCATCACCTCCTATTTTTCCTCCCGCCCCATTCTGGATCAGGTCTTCTGTCATACACTGACAGAAGACTGGATGACACTGTCGCACACGCTGGCCAAATGCCAGTGCTTATAGCAATGCGACAATTGACCCCCCGACAATTGACCCCCCGACAATTGACCCCCCGACAATTGACCCCACGATATTTCATCATTATACTTTAGTACTAAATATCTTATTTAAAATTCAGAGAATTATATTTGTTAGGTAAAAAACGGAATTTGTATAGTAACCATGGTAACGATGATTACTACATGAACTTGCACGTGCAAAGATTTGCGAGCATCATTTTGATTGATTATGTGGTATTTACATTTACGTTGTGCTTTACATTTACAATTTGTTTCAAATAACAAGTTTCAAATAGTAGCCGGTTAGTAGCCGGCTAGTGACCGCTTTTCAAGTGTCGGCTAGTAGCCGGTTTGGAACTAGAAGGTCCGCTTTAGAGCCGGCTAGTGACCGGTTAGTAGCCACTTGGTGGTTACTAGCCGGTTAGTAGCCGGTTAGTAGCCGGCTAGCGACCGCTTTTCGAGTGCCGGCTAGTAGGTCCGCTTAAGAGCCGGCTAGTGACCGGTTAGTAGCCACTTGGTGGTTACTAGCCGGTTAGTAGCCGGTTAGTAGCCGGCTAGTGACCGCTTTCTAAGTGCCGGCTAGTAGCCGGTTTGGAACCGGCTACTAGTAGGTCTGCTTTAGAGCTCGGCTAATAGCCGGCTAGTGACCGGTTAGTAGCCGGTTAGTAGCCACTTGGTGGTTACTAGCCGGTTAGTAGCCGGTTAGTAGCCGGCGAGTGACCGCTTTTCAAGTGCCGGCTAGTAGCCGGTTTAGAACCGGCTACTAATAGGTCTGCTTTAGAGCCGGCTAGTGACCGGTTAGTAGCCGGTTAGTAGCCACTTGGTGGTTACTAGCCGGTTAGTAGCCGGTTAGTAGCCGGCTAGTGACCGCTTTCTAAGTGCCGGCTAGTAGCCGGTTTGGAACCGGCTACTAGTAGGTCTGCTTTAGAGCTCGGCTAATAGCCGGCTAGTGACCGCTTAGTAGCCGGTTAGTAGCCACTTTGTGGTCACTAGCCGGCTAGTAGCCGGTTAGTAGCCGGCTAGTGACCACTTTTCAAGTGCCGGTTAGTAGCCGGTTGTTAATGTGAAGTTGAGGAGCTGTTATTACAAAAGTGGCTACTAGCCGGCTAGTAGCCGGCTAGTAGCCGGTGTTCATATGGTACTGTGCAGGGACGTTGCATAGACGTTGCATAGACGGTTCTTTTGTTGTTGCACGGACGTTGCATAGACGTTGCATAGACTGTCAGGTGGTAAACGACCAAGTTGCCGACAACAAAAGAACCGTCTATGCAACGTCTATGCAACGTCCCTGCACAATGAACACTCTATGCACACTCCCTGCACGGTCAGTCTATGCAACGTCTATGCAACGTCTATGCAACGTCTATGCAACGTCCCTGCACAGTACCATATGAACACCGGCTACTAGCCGGCTACTAACCGGCTAGTAGCCACTTTTGTAATAACAGCTCCTCAACTTCACATTAACAACCGGCTACTAACCGGCACTTGAAAAGTGGTCACTAGCCGGCTACTAACCGGCTACTAGCCGGCTAGTGACCACAAAGTGGCTACTAACCGGCTACTAAGCGGTCACTAGCCGGCTATTAGCCGAGCTCTAAAGCAGACCTACTAGTAGCCGGTTCCAAACCGGCTACTAGCCGGCACTTAGAAAGTGGTCACTAGCCGGCTACTAACCGGCTACTAACCGGCTAGTAACCACCAAGTGGCTACTAACCGGCTACTAACCGGTCACTAGCCGGCTCTTAAGCGGACCTACTAGCCGGCACTCGAAAAGCGGTCGCTAGCCGGCTACTAACCGGCTACTAACCGGCTAGTAACCACCAAGTGGCTACTAACCGGTCACTAGCCGGCTCTAAAGCGGACCTTCTAGTTCCAAACCGGCTACTAGCCGACACCTGAAAAGCGGTCACTAGCCGGCTACTAACCGGCTACTAACCGGCTAGTAACCACCAAGTGGCTACTAACCGGTCACTAGCCGGCTCTAAAGCGGACCTTCTAGTTCCAAACCGGCTACTAGCCGACACTTGAAAAGCGGTCACTAGCCGGCTGGTTGGTACTAGCTGGTTAGTAGACGGCTACTAACCGGCTAGTACTAACCTGCTCTAGGCGACTCTAAATCAGACCGGCTATAATTCATTATTGCCAAATAAACAAATTATTTGAAACAAATTATTTGAAACAAATTATTTGAAACTTGTTATTTGAAACTTGTTATTTGAAACAAATTATTGAAATGAATTATTTGAAACACGTTATTTGAAAGTAAGTTCCAAAATCGATTACAACATTTTTATGAAAAATAAAAAAATACTGAAAACTGATTACATTCAATTTCTTCGTGGTGGAGGAGCAGTGTAATTGTTTTTGGGCGCTAGGACGACGCCTTGGGTACAAAGGGTCCTAAGAGTGGCAAGATTACGGTTGCAGATCTCGTTTGCGAAGGTGTAAACACTAGGAAGTCTGACGTCTCAGAGTTGCAGCAGTGCGTGTTGGACACCTGGTAGGTCAACTTTTGCTGCTTCAGCGATACATCGCTTTCTTGAGAAGTGACTCCGAGAAATGTGTATCTGCTCCAGAGCGGCAGACTTTGAGAGACCAGAGTTGACTAGCTGCACAACGGCGTCGTATTCCGCTATAACCCCGTCTAAAGAAAATATCCGCCTCGTTCTGCGACCAGTAGGCAGAGCAGCAGCATTGGGAGCAGGTTGCTGATCAGTAGCAGGTTGGTGTCCAGGAGCAGCTTGCTGAACAGGAGGTTGAGGAGAATTGGGAGCTGGAGGTTGAGGAGCTGGAGGTTGAGGAGCTGGAGGAGGAGCTGGAGGTTGAGGAGCTGGAGGTTGAGGAGCTGGAGGTTGAGGAGCTGGAGGTTGAGGAGCTGGAGGTTGAGGAGCTGGAGGTTGAGGAGCTGGAGATTGAGGAGCTGGAGATTGAGGAGCTGGAGGTTGAGGAGCTGGAGGTTGAGGAGCTGGAGGTTGAGGAGCTGGAGGTTGAGGAGCTGGAGGTTGAGGAGCTGGAGGTTGAGGAGCTGGAGGTTGAGGCGGTTGAGGAGCAGCAGCGGTACGAGGAGCTAGTCCTGGAACAGTGGGAGGAGGAGGGGGTGGGGTAGGTCTTGAACTAGAAGAGGTTCTAAGTCGGTGATTGGTGGTGGGGATAGGTCTGTTTGGTCGAATTGTGGGTGTAGAGTGCAGGGAGCACGGATCGATGTGTACTATAATCTGTAGATAATCTGGGTCCTCTCTGTAAGCGCTTCTAACAGTCCGAATGCAGGCAGTACATCTGAGGGAGGGAAGGTCGGGACTGTAAGTCCTTCTGAAGCAGATTGAGGAGATGTGACCGGTAGACCCACAGTGATCGCATTTAGGAGCAGGTGTAGGAGCGGTATATCTGTTTCTTCTGGTCCGCATGTTGATTAAGAGTAAAGAATGATGTATAGTAAAGAACGATGTAAAGAACGAGGGATAAATAAGTTGGTGGCTAATGCTACTTATATAGTTTTTGGAAAGGCCTGCAGGTCCGTCAGGGCTCGTTATACCCATGGTTATTTGATCTGATCTATCATGCATGGTGTCACGTCAAATCCTAACGATTGCGGTGATCCGTTAGAACTCAATTGGGGATCACATCGTTTTCACTGATCACGTCCCTGCAGGGATTCTTATGCAAAAGGAGGGATATAACCTAAACAATCTTGATAAAAGGATTAAAAAATGACTATGATACTTGATGCGTCCCATATCATAAATAATTTGGGATCCATCAGTTTCGGTTCGGTTTATAGATCGTTTCTTAGTAAAGTGGGAGCAAGCGGAGCATTCGTCTATTTTCAAAATGTAATAATTGCGATATTACTCGTCAGCCAGCGCAGGCCAGCGCAATATAGTTGCGATATTGTTCGTCAGCTACTGCTAGTGCCGGCTACTGCTAGCGCTGGCTAGCGCCATGTATAGAAATCGGCTCTAACTAATTCGCTCGCCCAAATTTTCACGTGCCGTTTTTATGGTTTTGCAGCCAAACAAAACGGTTTTACAGACACCCTAATCCCAACCTTAACCCTAACCCCGAAGCTATTCATAACCCTAACCACAACCGTGGTCACTATTAACCAATGTCTCTATTAACCAATGTAAACAGTTCTGCGTGAGAAATTCGAGCTAGCTTGCTCAGGCTAAATTGGCCAAATAAGCTCAGTGAAGCTAGCACTCACACAACACTTGCCACAAAGGTTTAGCTACCTGTTATTAACACTAGCAGGAACCCATTAACCCTAAAGTGGTGTCAAGACTTTAGGAGGCCGGATCAGTTTCCTGCCGCAAAGTCTCCCAGTGAAAATTATTATTACCTATTCAATTCACGTTTTTGACACCACTTGGAAGTCCGAATTTTGGGCACTAAAATTCTTATTTCTTGGCCAATTTTTTTCCCTGCTCTTGCCGACACAGGAGGAGCTAAGTGCAAAGAAACTGTCACTAACTGCTACAAACTGCCACTAACTGCCACAAACTGCCACTAACTGCCACAAACTGCCACTAACTGCCACAAACTGCCACTAACTGCTACAAACTGCCACTAACTGCCACTAACTGCCACTAACTGCTACAATCGCGCCCACGCATTTGCGCGCGACAGTAGCAGTTAATGGCAGTTAGTGGCAGTTAGTGGCAGTTAGTAGCAGTTAGTGGCAGTTTTTATGCGCGTCGGGATTTCAAATCGAGCGCTCATCAATTTTTATAATGGCAAGTCCGCAGCGTTTAGAGCTGCATTGTTGATTATTGGGCAGCGCTCAGCCTGTCATTCCGCCGAATCTCTATTCATTAATGAACATGATAGCCTGAGGTTCCCAGGTAACATTGTTGACTAAACCAGACTGTGCACGTTGTGCTAGATGTCAAATGTTGCAGATAGCGTATACGTTTTTTAAAACCATGTTTTGATTTGATTTGA